CCAGCCTGCTCCATGCGTATGCGGAGCCCTGCCGTAGGCTGTTCTAGCGCCACACACTGGTTGGCCCATAGACCCACAGACCACTGAACACTGAAATTGGACCTGCTTCCTGCCCCCAGTTTTTTCTGTGCACTCACCAGAGACAGAGAGAGGGAGACGACACTCCCCCACCCCCATGGGCAATGGTCACGACGCAATCCCTTCTCCTTTATTTCTCCCCCCTTTTGGGATTTTGGGCACCCACGCACACACGGCCCACGTGTTTTTCAAGTTGCTGTGTCCAGCACTTGAACTGTGCTGTCAGCCAGGAGGGATCCAGCTCCCTTAACCACCAGGCCACTGGCTGGTCCACTTTTTGTTTTAATTGCCACAGGGTTTGCCAGAGAGAAACAGAGAAAGGAGGAGAAAGAAAGCACCCCCCCCCAAAGTGCCCAAGTGGGGCACAGTCACGCAGCAATCAATCCCTTCTGCTCCATTTCTCCATCCTGTTGGGATTTGGGTCACACATACATGTGCCCAGCATGTTCCTCAAGCTGCTGGGGCAAGGATGCAAACTATGGATGGCCATGTGGAATCCAGCTCTCTCTCTCTCTCTTTTTTTGGAGAGGTTTTTGCTATAGGGCGCATGTGCTTGCTAGAAAGAGAGAGACAGAAAGCGAGAAATCACCCCCCAGGAGGATGGCCATGCCACAATCCCTTCTTCTCCATTCTCCTCTCGGGATCTTGGGCATGCATGCACATGTGGCCGGCGTGAGTTTAAGCCACCAGGTCTGGGACTCGAACCGTGGTCGACTACATGGGAGTCCAGCAATATAACCATTATGCCAACTACTGGTCCCAAATCCAGCTCCATTAACCATTAGGCCACAGGCAACTCTGTACTGCTCTTTAGTACCCCTGTCCCTAGCTATCCATTCCAAGCACCAGACCTAGTGGATACGGCCTTCAACAAATTTTATCAGAGTTGGGGAGGAGTGGGCCTCATGACTTAGAGTGAGAATCTTCACCCTGGCCCTTAACCACATTGGGATCCTGCAGTAGGGAGCCCCCAGACTCTACACAGGCACAGCGTGCATGTTTACTTGGCAAAGGCCTGCAGGTGGCCCTGCCCCGCTCCCCCGCCACAGCTGCCCCAACTCACCAGTGGGTTGCTAGGTCCTGCTCCTTGACACAGACCCCTGAAGACTCATTTCCAGGATGTTTTCGGCTCCTTGACAACCTCTTCCTGTTTTGGAAGCTAAAAAGCAGCATCTAAAAAGTCATAGAGGTTTTGTTGTTTGAAAAAAGTTTCACTGATTGAAGAGGAGGTGGAGTCTCCTGATGGCAGAGATGCTCCCACCTCCCTGCAGGTCTGTCCCCCGTTCAGGGCAGCTGCCTTTGCACCTTCCTTTCTGGCCTAAGCATCTCCAGAGCTATTTGCTCTCATGTCTCTGTTTTCCTCAGTGTCAGAAACTGTGTCGCTGTCCACATTTGTCAATCATAACACATTCTCAAATGAACATGGGAGACAGTCTTTAAAAACATATTTTAAAAAATGCTCTTTGGGGTCCAGCAGTTGCATAATGGTTATGGGACTGAACTCCTACGTGGCCAACTGCCATGTGAGTCCCAGACCCGGTGGCTTGAACTCATGTGAGGTGTGTGTGTGTGCTCAAAATCCCAAGAAGAGAATGAAGAAGGGACTACAGCATCGGCATCCTGGGGGGTGATTTCTCACTTTCTGTTTCTGTTTTTCTCTCTCTGGTGGGCACACATGTCCTGTAGCAAAAACCTCTCTTAAAAAAAAAAAGTGGAACTTAGGAATTGTAGATTTTGCAGAAAAATGACTTTCACAGTAAGGAGAGTCATGGTCTAATGTTCCTTCAAAAGCAGGACTGCAGTAAGAGGAGCGAGTCAGTAACAGGAGGGACAGGTCCCTGGACACTCTCACCACCTCCATCTGGAAAAGCAGCTCACTCCACCCAGGGGCAGGGGCCGGGGACTGTGGTTCTGGAGAAGGGAGGTAGGACCTAGCAATGTTTCTGGGCAGCCCCATCTAATGGGCAAAGGAAGAGGATCTCTGTAAACCATTCTTGGGAAATACAGTGAAGTCTCTTTCGAGACCAGGTTCTCTGCCACATTCTTGGCTGGGAGAACCTTTTCATATCCTAATTTCTGAGATTAAGAACCATGTTAAACTGAGGCTGGGAGTTTAGGATAAGATAACTGAGGCATCCCAGAAGCTCCACACTGTAATAGATCTCTAAAAACAAATGCTTCTTTCAAGGCAGCAGTAGGCCATCAATAAAGGGCTCTCCAATGGGACTAATTATTTAGGTTAAAGTCTTCCTAATTTGGTCTTTTAAAAATTTTTTTTAAATAGCCCTTTCAATAGGTAATTTTATTTATTTATTTATTTCTTCAGAAAAAGAGAGACACTTTAACAGGTCTTTGCACTGAGACTCATCCCATCTCCACGGGCCTGGATAATGGACACAGGTACACATGACCCTTGTGTGCTCAGGGAGGTCCTGGGATGTGAACCCAGGACTTCCCCCTTGTGGGTTTAGTTGTGTTACCACTGTGCCACTGCCTGACCCCTTAATTAAAAAAAAAGAAGTTAAAGGTTTTTGCCATAGGGTGCGTGTGCTCACCAAAGAGAGAGAGATAGTGAAAGGGAAAGTGAGAAAGCACCCCTGAGGGATAGCCATGTCACAATCCCTTCTCTGTTCTCCTCCTGGGATTTTGGTACACACACACACTCACCCAGAGTGATTTTTAAGCCATTAAGTTCAGGACTCAAACCATGGTCCACCAATGTGGAAGTCCAGTGCTTTAACTATTATGCCACCTGCTGGCCAAAGCCCCTTAATTCTTAAAAGGTTTGCACTGACGAGGTGGAACCCCCTAGGCTGTACAAAATCAGACATTCCATCTTTCCTTGGTGTATCAGCTGTGCTACTTACTAGCTCTGACTTTGAGCAAATTACTTACCCTGTTGTTCTCAGCAGTTACATAGGGGGGAAGTGTCCCCTCTCCCCACTACAGTAATTGTGAGGACTAACTGAGTTAACTGAGAACAATGCCAGGCACACACAGTAGGTGCCTTATTAATACTGGCTGTTACTATCTGTTATTCACAGAAAAGACCTGGGACACGGCACCAGAGGTCAAGAATTTGCCTGAAATGCAAGAGAACCTCATCAGCTCATTTCTGTTCTCTGAAAGAGTGCATCATGCCCATCCTCCAATGCCTGAAAGTTCTGGGTTTTTTTGTTGTTGTTGTTTATTATTTTTTTTAACCAAGCACTTCTTATATAGATTTGAAAAGGCAAATAAATTACGCTTTTGTATCTAATTAGGGGTAAACCACATTTAAGATCAGACTGAATTAAGTGATTAACAACTTCCTCAAATGGATCACTTGAGTCCCCCTTCTTTTCACAAGATAAATTTTTATTTAACAAAACTCACAAATTTATGTATGGTTTGCAAATATCCCCAATTCTTTTTATTTATTTATTTATTTTTGGAGAGGTTTTTGCTACAGGGCACATGCGCTCACCAGAAAGACAGAGAAATCACTCCCCCGGGGGGATGGCCATGCCGCAACCCCTTCTCCTCCATTCTCCTCAGGATCTTCGGCACGCACGCACATGTGCCTGGCCTGAGTTTAAGCCACTGGGTCCGGAACTCGAACCATGGTTGGCTACATGGGAGTTCAGCGACATAGCCATTACGCTAACTGTTGGTCCTGCAAATATCTCCAATTCTTGTGTATAGTCTTTTCACTTTCTTGAATAATCATAAATTAAGCTTTTGATAAAATATTACTCTTACAAAATCTATCGGGTTGTCAGAAAAGTAATGACGTATTCTTCTATGCAAAAATGTGTCATGACTTTTTTGACAACCCAATATGCTATCAACTTCAAACTTAAGTAGCCGTTTTTTATTTTGTAATCTTCCCTGTTCCAGCCCCCGTCACCTAGGCTCACAGGTGTGTACCACCACTCCTGGCCTGTATAGGTTGGACCAGGAACCGAACCTGGGCTCCCCCAGGCGGCCTTAGCCACTGCACAGTGGAGCCCTCCTGCTTGTGCCACACTGCAGCTGGGCCTTAAGTAGTTGGTTTTTGAAGAAATTCTCTTTAGATTGAGATGTAGCAGTATTCTTTATAAAATATTATTTTATTGTTTTAAAATATATTCAAATTCTTGATAAGTATTTCTTTTAAAATATGGCCTATTCCAAAGAAGAATAAAATCGAAGTTAAAATGTGACAGCTACTTGGGGTTGTGTCATTTTATTCAAGTCATCGTGGAGGATCGATGTGGTTCAGTGGAGGCTGAGGCCCAGGCCAGTGTCAGGCTGTACTCTTTCTTATTTCACCCAAGAAGTCATAGGTCTGCTCTGAAAGGTCAAAAGGTTCATGGATTCCGTCTGGAGACAGCAGAGCTTGGAGGGCGCCCTCATTTTCTTGGTTTTGTTTAAGGAAGTTGGCGATAACTTTCCATCGTGTGGCTTCAGTCTCTTCCTCTGCCCACTTGAATGGGGGCAGGACCGTAGAATGGAGAAGAGGGAGCACACAGTCATGGTACACTTGGAGAAACATGGCCTTCAGGAACTCTTGATCTCTCTGGGAAAACACCACCACAAGCAACTATGAATGGGCCTATATCACTACTATTTATTTATTTATTTATTTATTTATTTATTTATTTATTTATTTATTTTGGAGAATTTTTTTCTATAGAGAGTGTGCGCTCACCAGAAAGACAGAGAGAGACAGAGAGATAGAAAGTGAGAAATCACTCCCTGGGGGATGGCCACGCCGTAATCCCTTCTCCTCCTCTTGGGATCTTAGGCACGCACGCACACATGAGTTTAAGCCACCAGATCTGGGACTCGAACTGAGGTAGACTACAGGGGAGTTCAGTGACATAGCCATTATGCTAACTGCTGGTCCTGAACTATTATTTACGGCATTTACTAAAAGAGAGACAGAGAGAGAGAGTCTTTCCCTGCTGTAATCCTCCCTTCAGCTTTCCAGCTAGCCAAGACCACATCCACCCATGGGGATGTCCAGCACATTCTGGTAGATCTGGGACCTGAACCCTGGACCTTCCCAAATGACGCCAGTATTGCAAAGCTGAAAGTACCTGTACCACCACAGCTGCGACATTGTATGTTTAAAGTCCCAGGTTCTATGAACTCTGTTAACCAGATGCCATGCAAGGGGTGGGATAGAGGGTGCCCTCAGTGGCTGGGTGTTAATGGGCTCTGAGTCAGAACACAGGACCCTCCGAAGTGGAAGCAAGCAAGAGTCAACAGAGTAGAGCAGAGTAGTTCTCCCTGGGAGGCTCCCAGAGCAGGGGGCCTCTGGTCTTGGAGAGCTCTACTGAGAGGATCTTACGCATTCTGTCAGGGACGTGAGACTGGGGAGTTGCAATCTGATTCTTGTAAGAAGGATTTGATTCTAGGTAAATACAACTAAAACAATGTGAGGTTGGCTACATCTGCTCAATTCGATTACAGCCTGTCCAAGATAACTGTCATGTCAGCATGAGAGAGGGTGGCATGCGTTCTGCAAGGGACTGAGAGAAAGCAGACTCAAGGAGTAGGACATTATTACTTCCAGCAACACCTCGGGTAGAGGGCCTTTTAGTCCTGAGGGTGTGAGATCCTCTCTAGATAGTGAAAATGGTGCAAAAGCAACAGTTTAGCAACAGAAACTGCCAAGCCCTGATGCCAACAGGCTGCAGGGGGCATCTCAGCGAGCACGGCGGGCTGAGGGCAGAGATTCTCACAAGCAGCAGTCTACGCGCAGGTACCTGTGCACAGGGGCACTTCCTACAGGCCTGAGGCCAGGGCCTCGCCTACTGTTGATAGTAGAATAGCACAGGGGCCAGCAGGTGGTGTAGTGGTTATGGCACTGGACTCGCACATGGTCACCAGCGGTGTGAATCCCAGACCCAGAGGCTTAAAACTCACGCCAGGTGTGTGTGTGCATGTCCAAAATCCCAAGAGGAGAACGGAGGAGAAGGGATTGCTGCATGGCCATCTTCCCTGGGGGGTTGATTTCTCATTTTCTGTTCCTCTGTCTCATACAAGTACCCTATACCAAAAATCTCTCCCTCAAAAAAAAAAAAAATCTGCCAATTTGGGCAAAGGTCACATATAGATGGTACTGGTCAGATGAAAGCTCAAGTTAGGATACAATAAATATAATATTTTTTTCTTCAATTTTACATGTTTTTAATTTATTTGTTCTTCCATTGGCCTTATAGATCATCAACACTTTAGATCAGACATTAGCAAACTATGAACTGTGGGCTAAATGTGGCCTGCTCCCTCTTTTCATAAATAAAGTTTTACAGAAACTTGGGGCTAGCAGGTGGCATGGTGGTTGGGATGCTGGACTCCCACACAGCTGACCACAGTTTGAGTCCCAGACCTGGACGTGGTGACTTGCTTTCTCACTTTGTCTCTCTCTCTTTCTGTGTGAGTGTCTGGTGAGTACCTGTATCAAATTTAATAATAATAATAATAATGATGAGAAATAAATAAATTAAATAAATAATTCTTTTTTTTCCTTTTAAAAAAATGTATTTACATTTAACCACATCTTTACAGTGTACATTTCTTTTTCCAGCTGGTGAGTGTCTGTATCAAATTTAAAAATAATAATAATGATGAGAAATAAATTAAATAAATAATTCTAAAAAAAAAGAAAAGCAACAGCCATACTTGGTCATTAAATATGTCTGTGGTTGCTTTTGTTACAACAGCAGAGCGGAGTAGTTGTGATAGAAACCCTACAGCCTACAAAGCAAAAAAACATCTACTATCTGGCTCTTTCCAGAGCAAGACTGCTGAATCCTGAATTTGAGCAGTCAGACCACTACTCACTGACTACTGCAAGTTCCATTTGGTAACTTCCAGGCTTCGATGGCAACATAGACATGAGCCTGCATTTCAAAAAATATATAGTGTAATTCAGGTAATTGTTCCCCCTCTGCTTACCTAATATGGGCTTTGAGAGTTTTTTTTAAATTTGTCAGAGGTGTGTGCTCTCACCTATGACAGAGAGGGAGGAAAAGGGAGAAAGCACCTCCCAGTAGGGCAGGGTCACACCACAATCCCTTCTCCACTTCTCCATCCCGTCGGGATTTGGGGACACATACATGCATGCCTGGCTTGTTTCTCAAGCCACTGGGGCTGGGACTCAAATTATGTGGTTGGCCACAAGGGATCTGGCATCCCTAATCACCAGGTCACAGGGCCTGCTGAGAAGTTGTTTTATTAAATAAAGCAAATGTGAGGGCCAACTGGGAGACTTTAGAAACTTCTCCTTCATTCAGATAAAACCCAACGATATGAAATTATTAGCTGATCAGGTGTTTTCACAGCAGGAAACAATCATCTACCCTCTGGAAATTCGTCTTTGCATCCGTAATGGCAGAGCTCACCAGGGACATGACTACAGCTATGTTAGCTAAAAAAGACGGCCTTTCTGGAACGTGCACACCAACACTCGGCACTCAAAGTATTAATTCAGCGTGGACAATCACCTTACCTTCTCTGATCTTTTAAATGTGCTTTCTTTTTCAGCCCATGAACTCTAGAAAGCAAACAGAAACACTGTATTAGTCCAAGTATTCAAAAGTCCTTGCAACACGCCTACAACTTTACTATTAATAGTAAACACATTTACGGACAGGGTTAAAAATGCTAGATGGAATCGACCCCTGCAAGAGCTGAGGCTGCAAGTTGGCATCGATGGCTAAGATGACCTAGCGTCCGGCTGACAGGCAGACTGACAGCGAAAAAGACCCCAAAGTCCATGACTATCGTAAGTCGAAACTAACTAGGAACAGACCTGGTGAAACCTTAGCACCTCCATGCCAAATGCACAACACAGCACCGAAACCATACAGTGGTCTTAAGCTTTCACAGTAAACAGTAATGAAAACAGAAAACTGCCAGATGCCCAGCTCAACTGGCCTGATCTGAGAAGTATTTCATGTTGGGTAAAGTCTTTTTACAAGCAAAATGATAAATAGTGATTGAATGTTTTAAAAAATAATTGGAATACACTTAGTATGCCTCCAGGGAGCTTTTTGTTTGATAATAAATGTGAACGACTTTCCTCACATGCCTTCTCTTGACTATCCCGGGGCGTATCTGGACACTCCTGGAGCTGAGCTGCAGGGAGAACCCCGGCTCAGCCACCCTGAGATGCAGGCCAGCCAGGTCACTGCCTATCTCTGCCAGCTGCTCCTCAGGGAAATGCAGATCTGAGATGCGATTAGCCCTTAGGTTCTTCCTAACCAACGTCCAGACTTGACTGTTACATACCTAGAGACATGTGCCTATGGCTAGCACTGGCCCAATCGCTCTCGGGAAATCCTTGCTAAATGGAACAATGTATGTACGCTCTGTGTAATGAGTAAGTGCAATGACACTGTGGTATTAATGACTTTACGGGGGAGAAAGAAATTCTGCTTCATCTAGCTGCAGTTCCGAATGAACTTACCTAAAAATTATAGGTGATCATATGCCATGAATATTTTTCTTAAACATTTTTGCTAGAAACTTTATTGTTACTGATGACACACTCACCCTAGTCAACCCAACATAAATCAGTTTCAAGGTCTAATAAAAATCTTTGTAGGTGACTAAGTCCCCCTTCCATCTGCTACCAGGCCTGTACGATCTCCCTCTTATCAACAGGGGTCATGCCTTAACAAGCTCCCCTCCCTCCTGCACTGTCAGAGTTGTTTGCCTAAAGCAAAACCCGCCCAGGGTCACCCCACCTACCCTGGGTCACCCCACCTACCACACCCTCCCGCTCCCCGAGACTCAGACTGTCCTTGTGCACCCAGCAGCCACTCCCTGGTGCAGATGGCATGTCAGACTGGATCATGTGCTCTCCTTAGGAACACTCTTCATTCTCTCCTGCCTCGAAATGTTTGCTCATGCCCATTCTTCCCCCTGAACCGTCTTCACCCCATCTCAGCAGGCTGAGGTCCCACAGGCCTAGCCGTTTCAGGCCCATCTTACCCAGACCCTTAATGACACAGGGTCCTGATCCCCACTTGCTGCCTTCTTTCAGCCTTCGAGGTCTTGGGTTCTACTTCACCTGTGGCACCTGCCATGTGCGTCTTCCTTCCACACTCACATATTATTAGTTGACCCTGATGTATTAGGTTGAAACACACAAAGCTGCCACTTTTTGACAAGATGGCTGAAAACTGGAAATTTCAGACTGTTCCACTTAATATCCAGCTATCTCAGACAGTGAGCAGCACATGAGGAATTAAAGTAAAGATGACATGCAGGCGCCAGGTGGGGCACAACGTACTACAACTGGACTCACAAAACGAAGGTCCTAGAACAGGAACCCAGGACCTTCCCGAGCACACTCCACACGTACGTGCCTGCCCGTGGTCTGGGCCACCAAGGTCACAGGCAGGTCATAGCACGAGCATCTTGTTGGGAATGCTCCTCTCTCCCTCATGGAAGAAATAAACAAACACACTAAAAAGAACATGATATGCATGCTCTGCCTTGCTCCTGAAGATGCAGTGGATTTATCAAACAGACAGGACTTCTATTCTGAGGACACCTCAGTGGTCATCCTAGGCCAGGGGAAGAACAGGCAAGCATTCGCAGCGGGGACACAGGTCCTCCATGTGCTCCCTGGCTCAGGGGTGGGGGCAGCCCTCGGGAAGTAACATTCATACAACGATCCAAAGGATGATGGCGAGCTAGTTACACAGTGGACAGGGCCTGGGAGACATCCTGCTAGGGAGAAAAGGCCTAGAGCAGGTGACAGGACTCATTCTGACGCGGTGTGTTTACCCACTTTCCGAATCCAGCAGGTTCCCAGTGCGATGCAAGAGACCTACCCTGAGAGCATCCATCACGTCGGGCTGCTCCAGGAGCTTGGGGAAGGTGGCCAGCATGGGATGACTGATTAAATCTGAAATATGAAAGAACAAAGACAGTTTTATGTACGCTGCAGGCCTGGTATTTCACTGCAGCACACATAAGGATGCATTCAGATTAACATCACTGTGCCAAATGATTTGCTGATAATACATTCTAGACACTTGAACCATTGGAGAGCACAGAGCTGCGCCCTCAAGCTCCCTCTGCCCCTACTCCCATATCCCAGAGAGTTTTGAAATGAATTTTATAGCAAATGCTGAGTAGGTGGAGCAGTTATAGTGAGAGGTGAAGTGGCTCTGAAAAGAGTAAGACAGGAACATTTTTTTCTTGTATCTTAAAATTTATTTCTTGAGAAAGAGAAAAAGACACCTTCAACATGATCTAGCCATGCTTTGATCCCTCCCCAGCATCCTGGCCAGAGCAGATCCTGGGCACGTGTGGGTGTGCCCAGCATGCTCGGGTTGACCTGAGATCTGAACCCGGGCCTCCCATGTGGTTCACGCACTATTTCAAGCTGGACCTTGTTTTTCTTTCTATGTTTTCTCTAATCTCTCCTTCTTCCTATGACTGCGGTGTGGTGAGAAGAATCTTCCAGTTAGGAGGCAGCTGACCAGGAATGAGGAAGCACCAGGGAAGGGAGGGGAAGAACAGGCTGCTCAGGTCTGACTCCAGTGTACCGCACTCAGGGAAGAACCTGGTTACTGGGGCCAGTGCGAGGTTGTAGAGGAACTGGAGGGAATCAGGGATTGGAGATTCTGGCTCCAATCCCAGCTGCATGACTACATACTGTGTAGGAGAATGTGGCTATTCCACAAAATGGCATGTGCGAGGTTGTAGAGGAACTGGAGGGAATCAGGGATTGGAGATTCTGGCTCCAATCCCAGCTGCATGACTACATACTGTGTAGGAGAATGTGGCTATTCCACAAAATGGCATGTGCGAGGTTGTAGAGGAACTGGAGGGAATCAGGGATTGGAGATTCTGGCTCCAATCCCAGCTGCATGACTACATACTGTGTAGGAGAATGTGGCTATTCCACAAAATGGCATGTGAAGAACTGTGCAAAGCACACAGGGAAGGATGTGTCTTAGTCCATCGGTGCTACTATAGCAGCACACTTGAGACTGGGTGATTTATCAATGATAGAAATTTATTTCTCACCATTATATAGACAGGGAATCTGAGGTTTGGCGAGGGCCTTTTTACTATGTCTCCCAGAGGGAAAGAACACTATATTCTCACATTGTGGAAGGTGGCAGGGCAAGCAAGACAAATCCTCTCTGTCAAGCCCTTCTATAGGAGCACTTGATGCCATTCATGAAGGAGGAACCCTCATGGTTTGATCACTTCTCAGAGGCCCCAGCTTTTGAAACCATCACAGTCGCAACACCTGAATTTGAACACTGAATCTGAACCATCGTAGATGCTTTTGAAGTGGCAAGTAGTGTTCATGTTAGACATAGCTCTCTTCCTGGAACTGACTGCCTGGATGGGTAGGTAGAAATGGAACTCATGGTCTAAGAAACACAGACATTTCTCAAGGAATAATTGTAACTCTGAGGAGAGGGCAATTAAGCCTCTCCTTACAGTTTTATAATCTTGTGTTCTCAGTAAAGAAAAATCCTTTTCTGTAGAACTTACTAGGTTTATTCTGATGATCAAATTCAAGTGAAATCAGTAATATTTTAAAAGAATTATCTTATTTAACATTATTTATATATTCATTTATTCTAATTTGACTAGAGAGGGACAATGAGAGAGACAGAGAGAGAGAGAGCAAGAGAGAGAGGGAAAATGAGAGAGCAAATCACCAGGTCCAGGACTCAAACCGCGGTTGGCCATGTGGGAGTCCAGCGCCTTTAACTACCACACCACCGTCATCAATAATTCTAAGTAATCTCTTCACCTATAAGAAAAATAAGCCTTGGGGGTCAGCCGGTGGTGTGGCTGTTAAGGGCCCTGAACTCTCACATGGCTGACTATGGTTCGAGTTCCGAACCTGGTGACTTGCTTTCTCACTTTCCCTCTCTTGCTCTCACTCTGTCCCTCTCTAGTCAAATTAAAACAAATACATAAAAAAATAAAGCTAAATAAAATAATTCTTTTTTTAAAAAAAAAAAAGAGGGACCAGCAGATGGTGTAATGGCTACATCACTGGAATTCCATATAGTCGACCACAGTTCGAGTCCCGGACCAGGTGGCTTAAACTCATGCCGGTTGTGTGTGCGTCTGTGCCCAAGATCCCGAGAGGAGAATGAAAGAGAAGGGATTGTGGTGTGGCCATCTCCCCTGGGTTGTGATTTCTCAGTTTCCATCTCTCTCTGCCTTTCTGGTGAGTGCATGTGTCCTATAGCCAAAAACCCCTTAAAAAAAAAAAAAAAAAAAGCCTTATCCCTCTTTGAGATGTTACATCATCTATGAAGTTCTTCTAAAGTTCTAAAGTCATTAAAATAAATTTAAAGGCAAGTGGTGATAAAAAGACTTAACTGCCCTCTCCTCAGAGTTATTATTCCCATGCTTCTTAGACCATGAGTTCCATTTCTACCTAGTCATGCAGGCAGTAGGTTCCAGGGAGAGAGCCATGTCTAACGTGAACTCTACTCACCCACAAGTGCTAAGCCACCATGGGGTTCTCATCCTCACTCGTTCTGCTCCATTCTTACTGGCCTGCCTTCAGTTTCAGTCCCTCCAACACATGCCTGTTTCCCTTCCAGGTCCTCAGACATGCTGGTCCCTCTATCCAGGAAGGATCTTCCCTACGCCCTTTCCCTGTATGTCTGAGTCCTCCTCAGGTCTTACCTTAAGTGTTATTTGCTCAGACATCTTTCCTTGCCCTATATGTGAATTCAGATCATCTTAGCGTATGCTTCCACTATGTATAATGTTTTCCCCAGACCACTTATATTAAAGGGCTGAGAAGGATTACTCATGTAATTTTGTTTGAATTCTGTTGCACCATGAGGGTAGGGCAGACCACGCCTACCTTTCATCACTGGGCTAAACACAACATGTCTGGCAATAGCTGTCACTCAGGACATACCTTTTACTGATTTATTGAGTTCAAAGAATATCCAATAAAATTAAATTGCATTTCTCTTTGTAAAGTCAATCATGCATGACAATTAACTGATTTTCAGTATTTTTTTTTAACCTTTAACTATTTATTGTAATTTATGAGTTATATATAATCACTGTTCATCTTTGTAGGGTACAGCATGGTTTTTAAAAGTAAGTTTATGGGGGTAAGGGGGTGCAGCAGGTGGCATGGTGGTTAAGGCACTGGACTCCCACATGGCAGACTATGGTTTGAGTCCCGAACCTGGTGGCTTAAAAATCATGCAGGATACATATGTGTGTGTCCAAAATCCCAGCAGGAGCATGGAAGAGAAGGGACTGTGGCATGGCCATCCCCCTGGGGAATGATTTGTCACTGTCTCTCTCATGAGTATACTCACTCTATGGCAAAAAAAAAAAAAAAAAAAAAAAAAAAAAGAAAAAGAAAAAGAAAAAAAAAGCAATAATAAAGAAGTATGTATACATTGTGTAATCAACAAATTGAGGCTGTAAACATATTCACCACCTTCAACATTTAACATTACATTATGTTGTAACATTTAAAATGATATTTTAATATTGTACTTGGAAATATTTCAACTTACAAAAAGTTGCAAGAATAAAAACAGAACACAGACTACCCAAATACTCCTTATGTGGATTTACCGATTTTTAACTAACCCATTGGTATTCACGCTTCATGCATTACTAATCAGCTGGTTTGACCCGGCTGCAGCTGCAGAGTGGTAGGGCACTTTGTATGATAACAGGGCAATATGGGAAGGCCCTGAGTCTGTTTCCTGGTCAGTCTGAGTACGCCAGGCACTTCTGCAGTGCATCCATGACCCTGGCTGGCGGGAAGGCTGGGAGTTGAGGATCGTGGTGTGACAAGACCTTGGAAATCCCTGTCTCTATCTCTCATATGAAAGAAAGAAACCCTGAAAAACAAAAAAGATATTTCAGGTGATTTTTGTTCCTTCCCCAAAAGATGACATGCACACCAAACACATGGGAAAAAAAGCACACTATTCAGAGACATTAAAGGAAATATATGACTTTGAGTTTGGGAATCTCAAAACTCTAGAATTTGAAATGTGAAAATATGTATATTTGAAAGAACTAAGTAAGTATTGACCTCATAAAACTTAATGTTTTGCATCTGAAGGTGTCTCATAAGTAATGTAGTGACATTAATGCTGTTCCAAATACTTCACTCTGAATGTCACATTCAGAAGGTGAAGACACAGGCTGGCACGGGTGCCCTTTATCAAAGCACACACCGCATTACCGCGTGTAAGGAAATGGGAAGACCCCTTACCAGCACTTTGCAGGCTCGTCCTGTCTTTCAGGAGCACATCTCCAAGAATTTGTCGATAAAAGATCAACAAGTGAACAGAGCACATACTTCCAATCAATGTTTCTGGTAGTAGACTGTTAAAGAAGAAAATCGGATTCAGTAACTGATCCCCAACAATCCAAGTTAAGGGCTGTCTAATGTATACAAGGGTCTTCAAAAAGTTCTGGGGGGCGGGAGCTGGCCCGACAGGACAGAGTTATGTGGGAGGAATCAGAGCCTACATTGCCAATGGTGCTTGGGATCCCAGCCCCAGTGGCTTAAAACACAATTGGTGTGTGTGTATAAGTACCCAGGATCCTGATGGGATAGAACAATGAAAGAAATGGGGTTGTGGCATGACCAAGCCCCACTTGGGCGTGCTTTCTCTCTCTCTCTCTCTGAGTCGTATAACATAAAACAAAACAAAAGCTCATGAAAAACGTGTATTATAAAAAACTACAGGGCCAGCTGGTGGCATGGTGATTGAGGTAGCTGGATCCGACATGGCTGACTGCACAGTTCGAGTCCAGGACCCAGTAGCTTGAAAAATACTTCAGGTGTGTGTGTGTGTGTGTGTGTGTGTGTGTGTGTGTGCGTGCCCCAAACCCCACGGGAAAAATGGAGAAGGGACTGTGGCATGGCCATCTCCCATGGGGGGGTGTTTCTCAGCACCAACCCCCCCCCTCTCTCCAATGAGTGCATGTGCTCTCTAGAAATTTTTTTTAAAAAGCCTAGTACAGATTTCAAAAATTTTTTGCACTAAAATAAATGCATATTTTGATTCCATTTTCCACAAACTTTTTGAAGTCCGCTCATATTATCTTAATGAACAGTTCCAAGTTTTGTTTTATCATCAGAAAACATGTTAACAATTTAAAGGAAAAGTTTCACTACAAGTTGGCCACACTGAACTTCAGATAACATAATTTTATGAGTACATTTTCAAGTCTGAACTCTGTTACCATTCTGGAGCTTTTGTTTTTGCATAGACACCCAACTTAAATGTCAAATAGAAAAGTCATCAATTACGTGTTTTGGAAAGAAAAGGGCTTGTCAGCTACAAGCTTTGACAAAGGCATGTGGCAGCCACACCTGATGAGGTGAATGCACAGGAAATATGAGTCCAGACTGTTCACCACGCGGGGTGGGACACAGGAGGCTGTGTCAGACTGTACTGGATCCAGACTGCAACTCCCAGCTATGCAGCTTTGGGTGAAATACGCTCCTTGGACTTTGGCTGCCTCATTCATAGAATGTGAACAGTAAAACCCACATTTCAGAAAGTTATTAAAAGAGTTAAAGTAAGTTGTGGAGTGCTTAATGCAATATATAGTAAGGACTCAAAAACAGAAAAATAATTCAATATCAAAATTAAATTGGGAACAATTTAAATAGAGTCTTATAACTTTAGGATGTTAAATGCAGTCCCCATGGTAACCACGAGGAAAATACCTATAGAATATACACAAAAGGAAATGAAAAGGGAATCAGTGTGTCACTACACCTAATCAATTAAACAAAAAAGAAAGCAGTAAGGAAGGAAATGAGAGGCAGAAATAACTGTAAGACACACAGAAAACAAGTAACAAACTGGCAAAAGTCTTTCACAAACAGTAATTACTTTAAATGTTAATGGATCAAACTTCCTAATTAAAAGATATAGATTGGCAGATAAGATAGTCTCCACTTATATGCTATCTACAAGAGGCTCACTTTCTTTTCTTTCTTTTTTTTTTTTGGAGAGGTTTTTACCATAGGGCATGTGTGCTTGCTGGAAAGACAGAGAGACAGAAGTGAAAAATCACCCCCTGGGGAGATGGCCATGCCACAATTCCTTCTCCTCCATTCTCCTTTCCGGATCTTGGGCACTCATGCACACGTGTCTGGTGTGAGTTTAAGCCCCAGGGTCCAGGCCTCGAGCCGTGGTCGACTACATGGGAGTTCAGCGACCCAGCCATTATGCCAACTGCTGGTCTCCACAGGCTCACTTTCCACTTATGGTACTAATAGGTTGAAAGTGAAGGATGAAAAATGATATAGTAGGTAACCACAAGTTAGTAGGTATAGCTATACTAATATCTGACCAAGTCGATTTTAAGATGGAAAACTGGTATGAGAAGGAAAAAAAAGGTATTACATAAAAATAAAAGGATCAACTCACCAAAAAGATCTAACAGTTACACACATTTAAGCACCAAACCACAAAACTCTAAGTATATGATACAAACACTGAAAGAAGTGAGGGGAGAAATATACGGATTTACAATAATAGTTTCCATCTCAATATTCTCACAGTGAGGGACAGAACAACCAAACTGATCATTAAGGATACAAAGAGCTTGCAGAATACCGTAGACCAACTGGACCAACACACTTTTTTCTCAAGTGCACATGAAAAGTTCTCCAGGAGAGACCATATAAGGCCGCCAAACAAGTTTTATAAATTTAGAAGACTGAAATCATATGATTGGAAAGTATCTTTTCCAATCATAATGGAATAAAATTAGAATCAAAAGCAGAAAGAAAACTGGGAAATACACAAATATGTGGAAAACAAATAACACACAAACAAGCACTTACTCCAAGAAAAAAAAAAAATCTCAAGAGTAATTTGGAACCAGCAGTTAGTGTAATGGCTATGTTGCTGGACTCCCACGTAGTCGACCGCGGTTTGCGTCCTGGACCCAGTGGCTTAAACTCACGCCGGGCATGTGTGCATGCATGCCCAAGATCCCAAGAGGAGAATGGAGGAGAAGGGATTGCGGCGTGGCCATCCCCTCTGGGGGGTGATTTCTCGCTTTCTGTCTCTCTGGCGAGCGCATGCGCCCTATAGCAAAAACCTCTCAAAAAAAAAAAAAAAAAAAAAAAGAGTAATTTGAAAACATCTGGCAACAAATGAAAATGAAAACACACTATATCAAAACTACGGGGTAAAATGAAAGCAGTGCTAAGAAGGAGATTTGTAGCTGTATATGTTTATACACTCGAAAAGAAGAAAAATCTCAAATCAACAACCTAATATTACGCTTTAAGGAACGGGAAAAGAAGACCAGACAATCCAAAGCTAGTAAAAAAAGGAAACAATAAGAATTGGAGCAGATGGGGCTAGCAGGTAGAGTAGTGGTTAAGGCACTGGACTCCCACATGGCTGACCACAGTTCTAGTCCCAAACCTGGTGGCTTGCTTTCTCATTTTCTCTCTCTCTCTCTGGCAAATTTAAAAAATAATAATAGGGGGCTGACAGGTGGCATGGTGGTTAGGCACTGGACTTCCACATGGCCAACTGCAGTTCAAGTCCCAGACCTGGCAGCTTGCTTTCTCATTTTTGCTTTATCTTTCTCTCTGATCAAATTAAAACATAATCATAATAACAAATTGAATTAAATAAGTAAATTAATTAAAAATAATAAGTAAAATTAAATAATTTTTTAAAAGATAATAAAGAATTGGGGCGGAGATAGACAACAAAAGTGATAGGGAAACAATAGTGAAAATCACTGAAAATCAAGAGCTGGTTCTTTGAAAAGATGAACGAAATCAACAGACCTTTAGCTAGACTAAGGGAAAAGAGAAAGAAGACTCAAGTAACTAAAATCAGAAATAAAAAAGGGGATTATTACTACTGATTTTATAGAAATAAATGTTTATAAGAGACTCAGATGGTAATTGCATGCCAACCAACTGGATAATGTAGATGAAACGAGACAAATTGCTAAAAATACACAACTTATTAAGGGTAAATCATGAGGAAACAGAAAATCTGAATAGGGCAGTAACAAGTAAGATTGAACTGATAATCAAAAACCTACCAACAGTGGAAACCCCAGCACCAGGTGGTTTCACTGGAGAATTCTACTGAACTTTAAAGAAGGATTAACATCATCTTCCTCAAACTCATCCCATAAAATGAAGAGGAGGAAACACTGAGGTCAGCAACAACCAGATACCAAAGCCGGACAAAGATTTACCAGAAAAAACAAACCACAGGCCAGTTCTCCAACGAATACTGATGGAAAAATCCTCAACAAAATATGAGCAGACCAAATTCAACAACAAATTCAAAGGTTTATACAAGGGCCAGGAAGTGGCACAGTGGTAATGCAACCAGATCTACCCGGGAAAGGTCTAGGGTTTGTGTCCTAGGACCTCCCTGAGCATATCCGGGTGCACGTGTATGCCCATGATCTGGACTAGCAGG